TCCACTGTCACCCCCCCCGGGATGCTGCGCTGTGCCCTGCCGCCCCCCCACGCCACCTGCGCCGAAGGAAACCCCCGCGCAAGAGGGCAGGGGCTGCGAAACCAGATCCCCCCCTGATTTATCCCACATTTATCGGGGCTGCACCTGTGCTGTAACACAGCCGGCGGGACGGCAGATTCCTTCCACTCTGGACGTGCCAGCAAACACCCCACCCTCGCCGGGAGCTGCCCCGCAGGGCGAGCGGCCCCGCAGGGCGAGCGGCCCCCAGGGAAGCCTCGCTCCCAGGGCAGGGGGGGCTGCCCAGAGCCAGGCGGAGCGGATTGCTTCGAGGAGTCAGACGCAGAGGGACAGGGCAGAGGGCAGGGAAACACCTGCCCCTTCCATTTTCCAAGGAAATAACGACTTCAACAGCCCTGGCTGATGCTATATCCTTCCGTGGCAGCAAGTTTATTTATTTATTAAACTATTGTTGTTCAAAAATAACAGCCAACGGTCCCTGCAGAAATTAACACTGCCATGCTGGCCTCTCTCGGGAATCTTCCCCCTAATGAGTACTCCCGCTCCCAAATTCATTACCTCCCAACATGCTTACTAGAGAGAGGAGCATAACGTTACTGATACCGTGCAGCGTCCAAAGCGCTGCGAGGAATGTCCAGGGCTTGGGCAGCAGATCTGTTACAGGCAGCAGCATTACCGGCTCTGGGCAGTTGCTGCCGCAGAGCCCGCAGCTCCCCAAAGCCCCAGGCTGGCTCACCCCGCTCCTGGCAGCAGGTCCCAGGGATGACCTGGGAAAGGGCAGACAACTGTCCTGCTGCAAAACCAGCCCGGCCCATTGCGAAGAAGTGCTGTTGGCCCTCAGTAACCACACAAAGTGCTCACGTGGCAGGCCGAGACCACAGCCCGATGCTTTTCTGTGAATCATCAGCCAGCTCCGAGCGCAAGGAATGCCTTCGCATGGGCAGAGAAGCCTCTGGCTCAGACCAGACCCGTCCATCTGGTCTGGCTACCTCTAACACTAGCCTCTATCAGATGCTTCAAAGGGCTCATTCCTCACTGCGGAGCATCTCAAATAACCTCCCTACAGGGATCCTTTCTTCCAAGCATCCATCTGTTGGTGTCCTTATTAAATATATGCGTCATTGCTGCACGCTTTTATTGTCTGGCCTCTGTCAAAGAAAATCTCTTACCCCCTTACACAACGCTTCCAAGCTTCCCCAAAGATAGCTCTGGTTCAGCCAAAGCTGCCAGTTCCCACCGCAGGTCAGTGGCAGAAACAACTCATGTGTCTGGACCCCGGGAAAACACCCTGGCTGCAGCACAGCACTGCCCTCCACACCGCCAGGGTCCGGCGGACAAGGAGCCCTGCAAACCTCCCTGTGCTGTGTAGAGGACACCGAGCAAGAGGGGACTAAGTGACACTTATAAAAGCTTAGCCAAAGACCAAGAGGCTGAAGCAAAAGCAGAACCTCAACATCCTGTCACCTACGTCTGCTGTGAGCAGAAATGAGCAGCCTACTTCCCACCATGTGAAGTGGCAGAGCTGATTTCTGCAGATGAATTTTACATAAGGAGATCTTCAGCATGAGCTGCGGTGTGAGCCGCTCTGCAGCACCGCTCGCTGCAGCCTGAACTCCTCCTCCCTCTCTGCCTTCCCGCCAGTCACTGCCCGAATCCCCGCCGACCCAGAAGACCAGCCAGAGCGACGGCATCGACGCATTTCAAAACAGCTGACGGCTGCCTGGGTTCTGCCAGGGACTGCACAGAGAAAACAGAAATGTGAACGATGCAGGAGCAGCAGCTGGCGTGGGTGCCAGCAGCAGGAGCGAGCTGCCTCTGCTGCAGAGGGGAAGGAGCTGCACCAGGCGAAGAACAACGTATAGACTGACTTCTATAGCCCCCCCCCCTTCTTGGACGAGGGAACTGGGGTGCACGAGTGGGGGAAATCAGCTGCATCCTTCCATTGTGAAGGCTGCACACACGCACCATGTGCCCAGCGAGGACTCCCCTCCCTCCCACCCACTGCCCAGAGGAAGGAGAGCGGCAGGCAGGAACGGCATCAGTAGGACTGAACTGCACCAGCATGGGCTGCGAGGTGTCTGACCTGCAGGGCCCTGGGGCAGGAAGATACCAGAGCAGTGCAAGAGCAGAGCCTGCTTCCACTTGCTGTTTACAATGAGCAATTAGGAAAATGCCTCGAGTGGCATTTTCCAGCTTGGCACCCAACACAGCTTGGCAGCAACGCTGGCTGCAAATCAAACGCTGAAGAGATAACCTGACTTTGTCAGTCACACCGGTGGCTCTGGCTGCCAAATACCACTTGGCATAGTCAGCAGACATATTTCTGCAGAGCAGAGAAGACACTGACCTGTTCAAAAAAAGACCTGCCAGCAGCTTCCATCCATGTGGTGAGCTGCAGCCTGCACACACAGCAGCTGGACGGGCTGTCCTTTGCAATGCTGTCACCCCCCGCCCTGGCCCAGGACTTTGCTGTGCTAAGCACCACAGAAATGCAGCGGCTCGGGGACAGGCAGCGATGTACAGCCTATTGATGTACAGCCTATCGATGTACAGCCTAGCACCACCCTGCCCAAGTGCCCAGCCTCTCCCAGTTGGGGTCCGTAAAAGGGCTGATCTGTGGGCGCAGGAGGAGAGGCTGATGTGGCAGCATGGTGGTCCCCAGCTCCAGAAGGCTCTAATCACAGACACCCGGCCTCGCTTAGTAACAATTTTTCCTGGCTTTGCCTCTTTTCAAACAAACACCGTGGGTTACGTTAGTAACATCCTCCATCACCTCTGCAAGCACGCGGGCGGCAGATACCCCAAGAAGGGATCCTTCAGGCTCTCGCAGCCCTTTCCCTGCGGATCACCGGTCCAGGTGGCTCTGGCCAAGGGCCATCCTAGTTGCTCCAGGAAGGAGAGCCAGGAGCAGACAGCGCAGCGCAGCATCTCCAGCAGCGGCAGCACTGAATGACCTAGAAACCACCCACAGCTTGCACGCTGCTTTGGCTTTCCAGGGAAGGGGGAGAGCAACAGCGCTCTGTTTCAGAGCCAACAAGTGGAGCCCCAAAGATTTTGGAGCTGGAAGATCCCTGGCATCACAGAGGCTGCAAAAAGATGCAAAACCTTGCTCACACTTCTTATGCTGATCCTTGCAGGAAGCCAGCTGCATCCAGGGATAACAGCGCTGCATCCAGATGGACTTTCCCTTCTTTTATACCGGAATGAACTTCTCCTGTCCGGCTGGCAGCAGTGCCTCTGCCTGGCCTCATGTCCCCGAAACACATCATGCCCGATTCTTCTCGCTGTTACCACACCCCAGTCCCTGGGAAGGGTGCGGGGAACACACGCTGCAGAACAGGTATCACACAGCCACATTTGTCATGTTCTAAGCTGCAGTGCCCCGGGTTAGAGGGAGGTGTGCACCTCGAGCTTCCATTCTTGGCCCTTTCATTAGGCAGGAGAACATCTATTTCTGGCTGTTGAGCTTTTCTGGGCACGGTGCAGCAGGCTAGTGCTTCCATTTCTAGCTCAGAAATGGATCTTTTGTGGGTTTTCATTTTGCTTCTCTACTCCTGCCTCCACTCCAACATTTTTCTATTGTTGCCTTTTATGCCACCCTATTCTAATTTATCACGTTTTCCTCAGTTTAAAGTGGGCCTATACATCAGTAAAAAGGTAAATTACTCTCTGTTGTTGCACTGTGAAAAATGCAAACTTTGGGAATTAAGAGAACTATTCACATGAAGGCTTAGGCGCGCCAGTGACGACGTGCAGCAAACGCTGGGGAGGGAGATGGTTTCATAATACGTTCCCTGACCTTCGGTGCATTGATGTGACACTGAAAAGATTAATGCTGGTAACTCCCATCTGCGACTCACCTGCTCGGGCCGCAGAGCACATCCGAGGACAAGCTTAACCTCTCTCTTCCCTGACAGCCCAAGTTAGAGAGGGAAAGCAGGCCCTAGGAAAGGGCAAGCAATGGGCGAGCAGAAAACCAAGGCCATGGGAAGAGCGGCAGCCCCGGCCGAGGGCCACGGGGTCCATCCCTGCCAGGGGTGGTGGCGGCGGCGAGCCCCGGGCGCGGCTGCATCCCGGAGCATCCCGGAGCATCCCTCGGGCGCGGCAGCCTCCCGGAGCATCCGCCGGGAGCTCGGCGGGGCAGGGCGGGAGGGGACGGGGACGGGCGGGCGGTGCTCTCGCTAGAGGGCACTCCAGGATGGGATTTCCAAGCGCTGCAGAGCATCTCCGGCCCTTCGGGACGCGGAGGGCCGGGGCTCTGCAGCTTCCCTCGGGCTCGCCGCGCCCCGCGGCCCCAGGAGCGGCGGGGGCTCCTTAGCCCGACCTCTGCCCTGTCCTCCGGGTGTGAATACGGGCGCTGGGCGGGCAGCCTGCGGGAGCGACCCCCCTGCGATGCAGCACGGGACGTGGCCGAGCAGAGCCCTGGGGCTGAGCCCGGGGCCGAGCCGATGCCCTCAGGGCAGCCTGGAGGATCCTCTGGCACCGTCTCAGCCAGCCCAGGCAGGTGCACGGCAGAGACCCCGAGCTCCTTCCCGGGCTGCCCTGCCCTCTCCTGCCTCGTAGCTCCTCACCCCAGAACTCCTCCCGCGGCACTCGTGCATGTGGATGGGCCCGTGGCCGAGCACAGCCTCACGCGTGGGGTTTTGCAGCAACTGCAGCCATGTAATACTTTGCAGTTGCTGTGACTGTGGGGTGAAAAGCGGCAGCCAGCCTGACCCAACCCCGCTGGTGTTTTGGGGCACTTTCCCACCATCGCGAGGAGGTCCCTGCCAAGGGATGAGGCAGGAGCACGGGAGGGCAAATCCACTACAGCAAAGCTCCCACGTTCCTTTTGCTTCTCCTGACCTTGGCGGAGCCGCAGTCTAGATACAGATCATGGGACCGAGAAGCACAATACCGAATGCCCTGGAATTCAAGGCAGAAAAAATGCGATTTCCTCCCATCTCGGGCTCTGCTGCTGCCATCTGCTTGCCAGGGCACAGCAGGAACCTGGGCGTCACACGCTGTGGCAGTGCCCCAGAGCACCAGAGCGATGCTCAGTGTGGGACAGCGCTGCTGAGCAGCTCAGCTCCCCCCGCGCCCTTCACAGCCCTGGGATGTGACAGTTCCCACCGCTACACATTCCATCAAAATAGCTCTATAAAAATAGAAGTAAAGGACACAACTGTCACACACAAGCCCCAGACACCACCAACCAGCTCCCGGGCTCCAGCTGTCTTTTCCCACCATACTGCCATCAAATTAATAAATACAAACATTTGTGACTGCATTAAAAAAGACTGATGTGAAAATGAATGCACTGCTATTCCTGCATTTAAAAGCAACAACCACAGCTTAATCTCACTGATGCTACTGACGTGGATGCGAGCTCATGCAAAGCAATTCAATAGAAACAGGCTCAAGATATGTGAGTTCCAGCCTGATTTTCACACTGATGGTTTATGAACACAAGCATCTGCCTTCATCTTGCTGCTGCTTTACTCCCCTATCAAGTCCTTTGCTCCGTTTGCTAAAAATATCAGTGCTACGTGGCAGGAGTGCTCTTATCAGGTGTTTGTCAGGCCTTGGCTCCCTGATTTTAGTTAGGACTCAGTGATATTGGGAAATGCAGGCAGCACCTCAGCCCCATAACCTGGGGTGCTGGCAGGGATGGGGGGGCAGCTGAGGAGTGAGGACAGCAGCTGGCACAGGGAGAGGGGCAAGGGAAGTGATAATGGGTGGGGAGGAACAAAACAAAGTTTGCTCAAGGTGGAGCAAACAGGTGGGAAGGAGAACCAGCCGAGTCCAATGGGGCAGAAAGGAGCGGCTCCAGCGCACACAGTGAACAACGGGATGGTTTTTCTGCCTGGGAACGCCTCTAATTTATGTTTAGGAGACCACTGCAGGGAAATAAAGGCAGGGCCGAGCAGTTACAAGGGGGAGAAAGCACTTGTTTTCCCTGTCTGAACCCAGCGTTTGCAAACAGAGGGATGTTTGTAAGCGTTTAGAAGAGCAGCAGCCTGGCTGCGGCATCACCCGCTTGGTAAAACCTGGCAAAGGCTCCAGGACAAATGCGGCGCTCAGCCGGGCACCAGGTCCTGATGGCCCGGCCAGCGTCCTCGCAGCACAGCGCAGCGCCGGCCAGCGTGGGTTGGTTTAGAAAAGCATCAGCAAAGCTCCCGAGTACGGCTATCTCTGCATCTCAGGGTGGCTCACTTAAAGAAAATATTTCTGTGTTCCAGAAAGTGTTTTGGTTGATTTACAGATAAGGTGCCTCCAGTCTTCCTTTTGATCACAGCTTGCGTGCTTTCTCTTTTGTTTACAGAGTCCAAGCCGGCTGGTGAGAAGCAGCTCCCCCAGCCCTGACTCCGGCTCTCACCAACCACCAAACCTCCAGGCAGCTCCCACCTCCGCACCTGGAGGACCACGCTTCTGGGTCCTCGCACCGAGATCCACGCTGTAAAACGCAGGGGTGACAGAGCTGCCCCGACTTCCCACCCCGCTTAACCGCAGCGGGGTCCGAGCTGCAGCCTGGGAAACCCAGTCTGCTGGGAACGGGGAAGGCGTGTTTGGACAGCGGCTGTAAAGCTGAGCGCGGCTGAAGGAGGAGAGGAGCTTTTCCCCCCGATTTAACCGCTTAGTGCTCTGACTTCTCCCTCCTCCAGCGCTGTCAGCCCCGGACCAGCCCCGCGCGTCGGGAAGGAGCCGGCGC